CTCGATGTGGGAACACTGTCATGGGAACTTCTCATAGTTGCCCTGGTAGCTTGGTTTGCTCAGCTACAGCAAGCCATGGGATTTTTGCTGTTTCAAGAAATCCCTCAACACATTAGGAAGGAGGCTCAGCTGCATACCTCTGAGGGGGACAACAACTACTCTGCTAGCAGCTCCTCATAAAGGGCTCTGGGACCCCAGCAAACCTATGGGGCGAACACAAGTCAGTAGTGATACATAGCTGTAAACAAACTCAACAACACAGTAGAATATCAAATTATGAGTGCTATATTTAAGATTCACCAAGACATGCCTTCAGACTACACAGTACTGACATGGTGTATAATGGTGTAACCTTCTGGCAGCACTGTGCTTCCACAAAGAGCAACACAGAGCAGGAAGAAGTGCAGAAAACATCAAAAATGAACAGAGGTCTGGAAAACATGACCTATGAGGACAGAATGAAAGACCTGGCTTTGTTTAGACTAAAATAGAGAAGTCTGAGGGGAGACATGATAACAATCTGCAAATATGTAGAAGATTGCTGCAGAGAGGACAATGAATTATGCCCTGTGCTTTATGGATTAAGACTGAGAGTAATGGGTTTAAATTGCTACCAAGGGAGTTTCCCACCTAGGGAGGCTGTGGAATCTCAGTCACCAGAGGTTTTTAGGAACTGTTTAGTCAATCATCTGTCAAGAATGATTTAGAAGTAGTTGCATTGGGATAGTGGGCTGAGCTTTGGAGATGACTTCTCAAGGGTTCCTCTTTCTTCTGTGACTGGATGACAGTTTCAACCTAATCTTACAACACTTTTCTTCTCAGAACAGACTTTTGCCCAGTAATAAACAAAGCAAAACAATCCTTTGTTCATGGGCTCACTCTTCTCCTCCTCCTGACAGTGGAACCCAAATTTGTCCATCTCTTCTGGGGTCACTGCAGGAATATGTGCTAGGAAGCCACTTCTCACCTCACATCCCTGTGTCATATATCTAAAAAAAACCACCTGTATTAGTAATAGTCAGTAGTTTCCCTTTTCTATTCCTATAACCTCTTCCATCTTTTAACCCCCTATTGATTTTCCCACACCCTTCTTCTCCATCATATAATTTTCTCTTTCTATTCATTCTCAATAGCCTACAACTCTCTAGGACTTGTTTCTGTTTCTGTATACTCCTTCCCATCTCTCTATCCTCATTGCCAAGCTCATATTACACATCCTATGTCTACTCAACATTTATGGCACATGGCCCAGCATTAATACTCCTTCCATTCTCTTTCTCATGCCCTTTGCCATCACCACTTCTGTACCTGTCCTTGAGACAGTTGCTCCATCCATTCTTGCTCTGAAACAATCTCAGTCACCCATAGCACCATCATTTCTCATTGTCTTATTTCTTGTGCTTCAAGGAAAACAAGATGTCTGTTTCCTTTTTGCCTCAGTAACCACCTTCTCTTACAGAAACCTTTTTGCTTTTTTCACGTCCCGTACTATAGATAGGTCAATGGGGAGCTTTTGATACAGCTATGTGGGCTCTTATTGTGGAAACCTACGTCCTCCTGAACAAAGGCTACATGCATTGAGGCGATGCTTCAGGGATGTGGTCAAGCATTACTCATTGGTGGAAAATAAAAATTTCTTTCCTCTGCACTTCCACAAAGCTTTTGCTTTTTTTTTGCTTTCCCTTTTCCCTTTAATTAAGTTATTTAATTAATAATAATTTTCCCTTAATAATTATTTTTCCTTTAATTAAATTATCCTTATCTCTCAACCAATGAGTTGTTTCTTTCCATTTCTTCTTCCATCCTCTTCTGAGGAGGGGGACTGAGAGAGCAGTTGTGGTGGCATTCAGCTGGCTAGCAAGGTAAAACCACCACACTCAGGAGTGACTTTAATGCTCAGGCTCTCTCTTGTTCTCTGCCTGAGCTATGCTGTAGGTACACCTGAGCTAGTGCTGAGCTTTGTAGGTACACCTGGGTCTGCCCTTGTATTTTCCTGATTCTGACCCTTAACTTGACCTGATGATGTCATCTGCTGATTTCACCTCAGACCTCCCTCATCAGTACAGGCTTCTCTGGCAATCTGGACTGTTTATCCTGGCTCTTGCTGCCTGGTTTTCCCTATTAATATTGCATTTAAAAAAAAAAAAAAAAAAAAAAAGGAAATATAATCAAAACTGCAGGAACAGGAATATAGAACTGCGTATTTCCACCCTGTCCACAAAGAACTGACATGAGGCCTGGGTCATGCTCTTTTCCTCAGGGCATTACTTAACAGCATCAGTGTTACTCAGCATTACCCACAAATGAACAATCAACACATAACACATATCCACAGGGTAAAGTAGACCATTTTCTCTCAAACAAAGAATTTCTCAAATTTTTATTGTTTCTGGAAGCTTTTTTCCATGCTTTCTTTTCCATTTTTCCAAGCTCCAGAGTTTGCCACAAACCCAAATAGTATACCTATTCAATTAAGAAAGGTTTCAGTTTCATTCCATGCAGGAAAATGGATAATACCTGATATTTTGCAAACCACTTAATCCCAAACAGTTTTTAACAGGATCCACTTTAGAATTGTGCTGTCTGCTTCCTGTATCTTGTGACCTTTAAAGAACGATACCAAACTACTCTGGCAACCCATTTTAAGAAAAGAATTCAGTGACACTCAGTAGATGTTCAACTGGGAAAGTCCCCCACATAACAGTTCCCAGAAAGACTAGGAAAACACCATTCATTTCCCCAAAATGCAGGACATTCAAGGATATATGTTACATGTAAAACAGCAAAAATTTAATGAAATTAAGCTATTCTTCTGCCAACCATTTTCCTCACACATTGCCACATAGTCCTTCAAAGCCAGAGTTCTAATGTTCATAAGCTATTTAGGAAATACATATATATTTTTTTAATTTTTGTCACTTTTTTTTCAAATAAATGTTTGAAAGCATGCTCAAATTCCTCAAAATGACCTATTAAATATTTACATTTACAGTTTTCTAGGATTTTTTTTTTTTATAGCTGAGATATATTTAGTTAACCAGGAACTTTTCCTGTCTCCCTTTAGGACCGTCTCATTCAAAATGGCTTTGTCTTTATGACAGGAACTGAAAATACAAACCTTCAGGCTTCCCTGTTTGAAAACCAGAGTGCCTCTGAGGGCACGTTATACTGAAAAGAAACCTTTTATGATTGTAATTCTTTAGTAATTAAATGTAGACTCCTCTGTGCTTCTATCAAACAGATCTCACAAGGATAACCTACTGATTATGATAAATTTAAGTACAATATGGGATGGTAGCACCATCCATGACTGTTTTTTCCTCGTGTTTGCCATTAGAAAACCTGATTTCAAGCATTTAATTTTGCCAGACTTGAACTGTGTCAGCTAAAGTTTTCCATTCTCAAAACCACAAGTATTCAAGCATTTCTGAGGAGTCCAGGGGGGGATTTTATTTTTTTTTTATGTATATATATTTTTTTTTGGACATGTGACAAAATTGTAGTAAATTTCCATTTGAAAAGATCTAGTTCCTGTGTGGTAGGGCAGATTGTCTCACCAGGAAGGAAAAAGGTGTTAACAAATTATTGGTTTACCAATGAGCTGCACATCTGCAAGTCTCGGATAGATGAAAGTCTCTATTCAGCTTGGATTAATGATGCCGTGGCTATTGCCAACATGCCCTAAATTGCAAACCATAAAGCCTCAGAAAGCTGAGTCTCACATTAAGCAAATTGAGATGATCCATTAGATTTGGAAGAAGAGATCCTTCTTCAGAGATCAAACTAGCACAAAAGATTAGGAAATGTTACTGGGATATGCGTTGGCTGACTGGGGACAGACTACAGTTACTCCTGGAAAGAAAGGTATCTACAAAAGGGAAACATTTCCATTTTACTTCATTCCATGGAGACTGTGACAACCTCCAGAGCAAGGAATCATTTTTTTTTTTTTTTTTTTGAGTGTGGCCTCTGTATTCTGTCTTACTCCTGCTTCTTACTCCTGCTTCAAAAATCTGGATTTTTAAAAAAGCATTAATTACAGCTCACATATCCTCAGCAGAGATATCAAATTTTCTGAAGATTCTATCTCTACTAAGCAGGCTGCAACCCAAAGCTGAACACCTTCCTTGCAAATACCACTTGGGCTATGCCAGTTTTCTGTATTTTAATAATGACTCCTGATGCAGGAGTCCAAAGCTTGCAGATGAGAAAGTCAAATAAATAAAGTCTGAAGAAGACCATCCAAAAAATCACTATGGCGAAATATAAAAATTTCAATTCCTGCTGATAACTCATAAGTGTAGTGTAGTTTATCAGTGTGTAGCCACAGGATAGAATGCACTCTCTTGGTTAATCTGGTTTTGAACTGGAAAAGTATTCAGGCTGTGTTATTCCACATTTGCTTTGATCATACCAGAACTGATTCTGATATTCAGACTCCTGAGCATTATCAAACTGTGTAAGACTCCTGTAGTTATTGATGAAACACTTGTATTGTGGAGAAGATCAAGATGATATATAGTGAAAGCATAGGATTTTGCTTCACAATACTAAAGCACTTTCAAAAGAACTTTGCTAAGGAATTTACACAACTTATGGAAGTATCTTGATTTATATATACAAAATTTAACATGTATAAATTGGAGGTGCTGGTTGAACACAACATTCTTTACCATACTGAAGGTGACTTGGGCATACTGATTGATTTGACATAGCAGTGGGGAATCAATTTTTTCAATTTTTTAAAGTGGAGTGATTAATGAAATTTAGTGATTCTGTTCTGGCAAATTAAACTGAAATATAACCACAATTTTCCAGTGGAAAATAACATCTGTCTCCTTCAACTTGTCACATACATTATCTATATTTTTATCTGTTATCAATGAAGGCTCAGAATAGGTATTTAAAAAAAAAAAAAAGTTTTAAAAAGCATTTATCTAACAATATTTTTTCTATGATGAAGACAAGTAAACTAGGAAGAATACAAAAAAAAATTTTTTTCAAAAGTTTATTTTCATATTATTTTAAATATTTTCCAAAAAATAATTAAGAGTTATTCAAAGACAGAAATAGTTTACTTACATTTAAAGGTCGTTGAATAATATCAGACTGCAACAAGACCATAACTTTTTAATAAGACTGGCAGAGTTGTTATTTTAACTTAGAGCAAAATGGTCACAGGCTAGAAAAGCTCTACAGCTTACACCCAACAATCAAAGGTGTCCTACAGCTTACACCCAAAACTCAAAGCCACTTCTCTGATGATTTCCTGGAGTGAAGTCAGAATGAGTAGTCTCACTTCATCAAGAGATCTTTTGTCCTTATTTTTGCAATAAAGGCATCAGATTGTACAACAGAAAAACTTTGAGAACAGTTTGAGGAATTTCCAGAAAATAAAATCAGAAGAAATCTGTACATTAAAAGGGAATATTATGCTGCTTGCCTATGGCCAGCTACTGGTCGCCTTTCTCTCAGCATGTCGTTATTCTCAGAGTAGCAGGTCCAAAGCTCCATATGCTGGCAAATCTCAGGGCAGAAACAATTGGAGTTTGCCACCCAAGGTGGCTGTGGTGAGCTGTAGTTCAAAAGAAAAGAACATATGGCTTTAGTAAAAATCTTTCCAGAGAGTGAAGTTCGCTTTTTTGTACAACCAACTGAATAAAGACCATCAGGAAGATATTTACATTACTACTATGTTAAGAGATCCAGAACTTACTTTAAAAAGTGAAACAACATAACTTGTAGACTATTCTAACCCAAATTAATCTGAAAAATCTATTTTTCCTTAGATTTTTCTTTTTGAATTATTTCAAATTTGTGTCAAGATCAGGTAACGTATCAACAGTCTGTAAAACCAAAGCATATGTTTAAACCACGTAGAAAGTTAAACAGGCTTCACTGTGTTTGATTCAAGAAAGGAACATGGAAGAAATATGAAGGAGATGGAATAAATGGAGATGGAAAATAATATGAATTAAATGAGGCATACCAACAAATGCAGTTTTCAGATTTTCATTGGTGTTAAATGTAGTATAATTTCCTTTCCAAAAAAAGTATATTGAAAAAGGACACAAACCTTTATAAAAAGGCAAGCCTCAAAGATGTATTAAGAGCCTTTAGCTGCATTAGCTTTCTTTTATCAATTGCACAAAATCTTAATTTTAAAATAAAAGTACTATTTTCTGCAATTTCTTTTATAAACAAACACTTGAAAGTCTGCTATAGCTCAGATAGCAATGATGTACAAGTGATACCTTTTATTCAAGTTTATTCGTGTTTATCCTTTGCATATTAGGATTTGCAGTTACTGATGCCAGTGACAATAATCTGAAGAGCTGGAATCACAACCACATCTCATGCTTTAACCAGTTCATCAGAATATGGTCTCATCACATCACTCATTCTTCTATTTAACTTTTTCTCATCCTCATTTTTCTTGACCTGTTGTTTGACATGTTTATTCATTTGCTTACTTCCTTTGGTTCAATGAATTAACTTTTTTGCTATTGGTTTGGTATACCCTCCTTCAAAATCTCCAATGACAAATTATTGTAATCTCTCACAACTGTTATCTACAAAGACTGTGACTTTAGTTTTCTTATATTCTTCTTTCTCACTCTCACTTCTGTAATCTTAAAACTATAAACTACCCAGAACTGTCCAATCTGCTACATGTAACTGCATTTTTTTTCCAATATCCAAGACTATTACACCTTTAACAAATACTTTTATTGGCTCCTTATCTACCTCTGTAACTTATTATTGGAAAGAGGATGTATTTATAAAATATGTAAGTAATCTATCCTAAGTTTCTGTATCCATTTATCTTGTGTGAAATAAAATATTTTTATTATTATTTCAAATTATTAGCAAAGAGATGACCTAACCTGAGAAATTAGAGATGGATTCTATTCTAACTGAAGATTCATTAGTAAAACAATTGAATTTTTACAAGACCCAAGAAGGTCATCTGTTCTATCTTCCTGCTCTAGATGAAACTACTGAAAAAAGTAGAATGGGTGAGCTATGGCTTTGTCTTGCCAAATCTAGGAGAACTACAATAACAAAAGATTTCACAACCTGTTCTAGTGCCACACTGTCCTGGTGATTTTTTTTTTCTAATTTCCATCCTGAACCTCAAAAACTGCAGCATGTACTCACTGCCTCCTGTTATAGCCTACTGAAACACTGCTTGGCTTCCACCTGTTAAATGTAACTGCATTCCCTGAAGTACTGCTACATTCCCCTTCCAGAGTCCTACTGTTCTTCAACTAAAAATTGTCTTTCTACTTCATCTAATCACTTTCCACATATTTGACAACACCAAAGCACAGAATCATAGAAATGTTGGCTGAACTAAAAATGCCCACTTCCTAGCTTTCATACCTCCCCTGTTTGGCCGTGTGCTCTAAGCCATTGATTTTCTCACAAGTCCTTCTTTAAAGGAAAAGTCCTTTCTACCACTTTTTCAACCTGCTTTCATTAGCAGTAGATAAAGAGGCTGCCCTTAGGCTGTGTCACTCTCCTGAGAAGCATTACACTCAGTATCTTTCCATTGGCAAAAGGAATATTCCCTAAACAGAGCCAGGCTTATTATTATTTCTAATCCAATTAATGTTTTAAAAGTCTAATCAAAATAAAGTGATTATTAGACAACTACAATGATACTATCACTCATAATCCAAACTGCCTATAGAAAAGCTTCACCAAAAAGAGTTTTTGATGGGATTGGTGAGTCATTAGCATCCCGAGTTCTTCCTTGCAAATTAGCTTTTTTATTTTTTTATTTTTAAATGACATATATAGCTAATTCCTGAATTGTATTACACCTTTTAAAATTGAGTTTATTGCAGTGTCACCCTGCTCTGTCAACCTGCTTTCTTGTGTCAACTGACTTTAAATCATGCTTTTCTATTCTTTCCTGCTACTGAAATAGGACAGAAAGATCATACAGGTATAGGAGAATTTGTCAGATGACCACATCAACAGATTTCTTGTTTCAGTCCTGTGAAAAAATTGCATGTATTTCTACATCTGTAGCTATGTCTATATTGATAAGTAGCACAGCAGCAGGGGATATGTAGAACAAAAGTGTTGGTGCAGAGTTGGTTGTAACAGCCACGTTACTTTCAGAGGGTTAATATAACCAGGTCTACTCTAGTCCAATATTAGAAAGCCTGTTGACACACTGGAGTTTGCTTTAACCTCTGGAGTTTGTCTTTTGGTTTAACTTGATCAGAGACTAATCCAATTCACACCTTCAGGGAGCATACAGTAACAAGAACCAAAGTTGTATAAGCAGGAACTGTAAGATTCCCTTCAAAAGCATTGAGATCCAAACTAGATTGCTAAAACACTCTCAAAGGCAGTCCAGTTTAGCCTTCAGATTTTACAATGACTCATTGCTAAAAAAGTAATTTTACATGTTAAATTGGTGTATCTGTTCCAGAAATGGCTGAAGATAATGCAGAAACACCCTAATTACTGTTTTACATTGTATATTACATTTTGGATGACACAGAAATTTGAGGTTAATTGCAATCTGCATTAACATGGGCCAAAAGAGCTACTAAAAAGCTAACCTGTAGTGCCTTTAAAATCTCTGAATAAGAGCTATAAGAGCTATTAAAACTGATAAAGAATGTGCTCACATATTTAGAATCCATTGAAATTTGAATATTTTTTTCAATAAGAAATTGTGTTTAATTTATGACAGTATTATATTTCCAAACATAGCCTAAGGAAGCACAGTGAAAAGAGGTTCTAGAAGGTCCTTCTTACATATCAGAACATGTGGAGCTACTGCAGAAACTTATTTTTAATAGACAAAAAAAGCCAAAAAAATATCATTTCAAATATTGGCAAGAGAAAAGACAGCAAGAACTAAAAGGAATAGATGCAGTGTTTTTGAAATGATAAAAAAATATATTCCTTAGTTTGCTAAGGCCCAGGAAGCAGAATATACTCTCTAGTGAAACAGGCATAGTATTTTTCTCTAAAAATTTAGAAAGCTATTCATTGACTCAAATAATTCTAATGTTTCAGTTCAATTATTTCATTTCAAGTGATGTCAAATTTGTGAGGGATTTAAGTCACTGGGAAACTGAAATAAGTGTCATTTTAGGAAGCCAAATAAAATACAATGGTTATAATAAAATTATTATGGCTGTAAAAAACTCTACATTTCTACTTTTTCTACTGCTGAATTAGTAAAATATTTGCTTTGGGCTCCAGACTTAGGAAGTCTTGGTTTCAACCAATTATATTATTCTTTCTTCTCATATATATATTGATGGAATCATAAATTTGAAACTGTCCTTCTCAATCATTTTTAAAAAGGAAAAAAATATATATATTTTAAAAAGACCCTATCTCCCCCTTTCTGAAGTTCAGTCTTGCAGATCAAAATGTGTTTGCTAGGTAAATATTTTCCTGCAAGAATATTGAACTCTGCAACACCTATCAGCCATTACTATTCTAGCCTCAGTTACCCCAATTACTCAGCTATGCATTATGATATTAAAAAAAAAAAAGACACATGTTCGGAAGTGGAATACAGGCAACTGACAGAAGTCACATGCTTCCACCATATACTCAGGAATAAGCACTTCCATTACTTTGCTCACAGCATCATATTAACTGTGAGATGTAGGCAGCACATGGGAGCTTCCCTGGAAACATTTTAATTTCCTCTTATGCCTTGACTAAGCAGGGACCACTAGATCAGTTCATTTGTTGTTGATTGTCTCAACAATCACTTACATGTCGGATACATATAAGTGATTTTTATATAGAAAGATGAAGTGTTATGGAAAAGCCCATCAGGTACTTATTTGTTCTGATTATAAGACCACCTTTTCTCTCTTTCTTAAAGAAAGATTAAAAAAAAAAAAAAAAAAAAAAAAAAGCAAACAAACACAGTTTTCAGCTGATTCTCACAGAAACACTGAGCCTGCAGTTGGATGACAAGGTCCCATCCTACTGCACTGAGTCCCACTCACCCCACAGACTAACACAGTTGATTCTGTTACAGTGGTGGTGACACTGGGCACAGAAGATGCACCAGCAAGTCACATTGGTGGCACAGAAGCGTAACCCAACAAAAGACAGCCTCTCACTGTGGCTTCAAATATAAGTTAAACAAAAGTCAGAACAACCGAATGTCATCTTAACAAGTAACGGTTTTGAAAATTAACTTGGAATTAGTCACACAGATAAATCACAGGTAGAACTTCTATATCTGTAATGCTATGCAGCATTATCTTCAGCTTCATAGTGTTCAGCTAATTATGACAACTTAGAAAAGGTACTGCTCAAGAACAAGCACCATCTTTTACTGCATATATTGCAATACTCTCACACTACTCACTAATACAATAAATATAAATTTTAGGCAGTAAGCATATATAACGACACATTTTTGGTTTTATCACCTTTGAATGGATAGATGTGATCTCTGAAACTACAGTCAGCACATTCAGAGCTTCAATATAAAACTGAGACAGGGCAAACAATGTGGCTAAAGTGAAATTGACAGGACTACCACTAAAAACTAATGTTTACCAGTGAAAACAC